GATTTTTCCTGTCCCTCCTGGACCATCCTCCCTGTATGCTCTCAAATAATGCCTATGTCTCATCCACTGTCTCCGTCATTTCTTCAGCCTCTCAGACACAGTGTCTTCCCTTTCGGGGTCTTTGGGAGTCCGGCAGACAGGCCCTGTACTCAGGGGGACCTTGTGCTTGGTTTAATGCTCTGCTATCACTGTCTTGGAATTCTTGATAGTTTTTGAACAAAGGACATTGTTCTGCACTGTCCTTTTGCACTGGGCTCCACAAATTACAGATCCCTTCCCCGCCCCTTTCTCCTTGTTCTTGAAGTTCAGGTTGGCAATGGCTTGACTCCTTGCCCTTGCTAGCAGCTCTTATCCGTGTGGTTTTGCATTTACCATGAGCCTTCCCCTCGTTATCACACTAATTGTCACTACAACCCTGTGAGGGGCTGACATCTTGACTCATGGCCCTTTGTGGGGATTTGCCCAAGGAGCCCAGGTCTTTTGATGCCATCCTTGAGGAACAAAAAACCTACCTCCTGACGCTATCTGTAATCCCCTTGTACTTGTGTAAGAAATTTGCAAGTCCGAAACCCATCTTCCACGTGGTCACTCTTAAGCGCCTACAAAGCCCTCTGAGGGTGCTTAATAAATACGGACTAATGAACTTGCAGCAGCTGCTCCTTGGCTAATTAAATCTAAAAAAGTCACAGACTTTAAATTATGCAACAAGGATTGGCCAAAACAGCTTAAAAATGTGGGAACCCTAGCTTTTCTGCCGTGCCCTGTGGAAAAATCCTATCTTTTAATCATGCTTAACCTTCCTGAAGGAACAGTGGCAACCTTTCAATAATGAATGGATGTATATTAGCAAGATCTCCCCAAAGCTTCACACGGGAGCCAGATCAAAAAAGGGACAGAGGCAGACACAGGCCTGGGGGGATTCCGGAACTTTCTGGTGAATCCTGGAGTGCGGGATGAAATCGGTTTCTCAGAAGCCCAGAGCCTGGACTGGTGAAAGAGCACAGGGGGAGGAGGGACTGATGTGTGATCCCCGGGCACAGCAGCTTCCTGATGAGACACAGCAAGCTCCCACTACCCTCAGATGGTGTCACATGTTGATGGGGACTCCACAGCACTTCTGAGGGCAACACCCTCAGTGATTCTCTCTCCTTCTTTTCTCTCTTTCCCTCTCATCTCTCCCCTCCCCTGACAAGACCCTCCCCCCCAGGCCAAAAGCAGTGTCTTCACAATAGAGGACAGGTTGTCTTGAATCTCATCATTTACACCAAGCTTTCCAGACTTCAAGGTGCATACAAATTGCAGGAGGATATTGTCAAACTGTATCTGCTTCAGTGGGTCTGGGCCAGGGCCTGGAATGCTGCATTTCTAAGAGGCTTCCCATAGTCCACATGTTGAGGAGTGACAATTTAAGTTTTTCTTTTTTGAGTTGGAGTCTCACTCTGTTGCCCAGACTGGAATGCAGTGGCCGCTCCCAGCCACCACAGCCTCGACCTGCTGGGCTCCAGTGATCCTTCCGCTTCAGCCTTCCGAGTAGCCGGAATTACAGGTGCGCGCTACCACACCCGGCTACTTTTTTGATTTACTGTAGAGATGAGGTCTCGCTACTCAGGCAGGTCTCGAACCCGCGGGCTCAGGCAATCCACTCACCTCAGCCTCCCAAAGGCGTGGGATTACAGGCTGAGCCACCGAGCCCGGCTAGGTTTTTCTTTTTCTTTTTGAGATAGGGTCTCCCTCTGTCACCCTGCTGGAGTGCGATGGCAAGATCATGGGTGACTGCAACCTCAGATTCCTGGACTTAAGCCATCCTTCTGCCTCAGTCCCAAGTAGCTGGGACTACAGGCACGCACTACCACGCCTGGTTAATTTTTTTTGTTTTTCATACGGGCTAGGGGGGAGGGGGGCATCTTGCTATGTTACCCAGGCTGGTCATGAGCCCCTGGTCTCAAGCAATCCTCTCACTTTGGCCTCCCAAAGTGCTGGGATTATAGGTCTGAGCCACCTTACCTGGCTGGCTTTAAGTTTTTCAATCCTGGCTGCACATTAGAATCAAATGGGCACTTTTAAGCACTTTTAAAGCCAGCAAATCATCCTGGACACCATCTCAGGTCAATTAAGCCACACTTTCTGAAACCAAACACCAGGCTTTAGTCCTTTTTTTTTCTTCACTGAGTTAAGAATCTGGATAATTTAGAGGTCACCCAAATGAAGCCCAGAAAGCTTAACCGACTTGCTAGCAGTCATCCACTGAACTGGGACTAGAAATAGACACCGCAAAGAAGGTCTTTGGAACCAAGCCTGCTCCCTCTTCCCTCCGGTGGATTCAACCAGTCTCTCTGACCCTAGTCCTGTCCTTGGGCTCAGGGTTGCTACCTATGAGATTCCATTTGGGGAGCAGGAAAGATTCTCGTATTTTTCTCTCCTTGAGCCTGCCTGAAAATTTATTATTAGTGCTTCATTATTTGGGCTCAAGCTGAGCGGACCTTTGTCCTGAGTGTGCTCTGTTACAGTCTTTAGCAGCTTGGTGTCAGTGGGCTGCTTGCATCCCCCTTGACTGGCACTGGGCTCTGTTCTGTAGGAGGAACTGGCCTCGGGAGGGGAGGGACTCTGGAGTCAAACGTGCCGTCTCTTGCAGCTTTCCTGAAAACACCCAGCACAGAGAGGAGTGTTCTTCTAAGTCTGCTGCCCAGTTTGTGTAAGGTCGTGGGGCCGCAGGCAGGGGTCAGAAGAATGAAGGCAGAGCTGCTCCAGGCACGCGTCCAGGGAAAACCATGACCTTCCTGCTGTGGTATGCGGTGTGTGGTACTCTTTCTTAAGGCAGAGTGCGGCGGTGGCCAGGCCCTGGTTGGCCACAGCTGTGCTCCACCCATGGCCTCAGCCTCACCAAGGCTCTCTGGCTCAGCAGCCAGGGAAGGGAGTGGGAACTGGGCCTTAGAAAGTAGAGACGGTAGGCATGGTTATTTGGTTATTTGCTTATTCCGCATCTCCCACTTCCCCTCATACTAGGGGAATCCCAACGTTGTCCAAGGTTGCAAAAGTGTCCAGGTGAATGCCACCTCTGATACCCTGCAGCTAGGAGCAGCCGCATGACCCACCTGGACCAATGAGAGGTGAGCAGAAGTCTCTGGGTGGGGCTTCCTGGAAAGCCTTTAAAAGGCGGGAGGAGTGGCCCTGGCGATGGAACTGCATGTGACCGGGTATCATAAGGATGGATGCCGTGGATGAGGGTCAGGGCCATGTGCTAAGTAAGGATGGCGGAGCAAGGCGTGGCCTGGATCCTGCGTGACTTCCCCGAGCAGTTTCATCAGCCATGGACTGACTACCTGGACCTCCTGGTATGTGAGAAACATAAACCGTTGTTTGGTAAAGCCACTGAGGCTGGGTTTCTTTTACAGCTGAATGCAATCCTCAAACTCAGGAACTCAGAAAGAATGTTTCTGGACAGAAAATGGGAAGGTCCAGACCAGAGAATGGTCCACGGAAGTTAGAGGAGAAAGGAGGCTTTTCTTTCTTTCTTTAGGTTACTGTCGCACCCTTCAATCTTTTATTCCCTATTTCCCAAGGAATTAAGTTTGTAGTCCTCAGACAGTCATTCAAGACTATCAATTTTGGCCTTAATCCAGTTTTTCAGGCCTGTTACACTGTTCACTAGAGCAGGAGTGACCCTTGTCTCCTGGATACCAGTTATATACTCCCACCCTGATCTCAGTTCGTGTAAATTCTCTGTTTCCACCTGTTCCAGGCTTACCTATCCTTGTGGGGTGCTCTTTCAAGAAGCCTTCCTCTATCACTCTGGGCTCCAGGAGCTCTTCTTCTTTGACCTCCCTTATAACTGAGGTGCGTATATGCGGATAGAGTCTTTACTTTTCATGTGTGTTAAACTCATCACCCAGCAAGGTTGTGAGATCTCCCAAGGCAGGATCTTGGGAGTATGGTAGCATGGTAAGAGTTTGTGCTCTGTGATGATCTTGGGTAAGTCATTTAATCTCTCTGAACCTCAGTGTTCCCATCTGTGAGGTGGGGATAATGTACATTTCTACCAGCAGGGTTTTGGTGAAGATAGGCTCTACAGTGCTTAGTGGGGAGCTGCTCCACCTCCCGAGTAAAGATTGTTGGCTTGTTGCATGGTTGGTAGGTACTTAGCTGTGCCTTTTTTCTATCCTGAGAATTTTGTGCTTTGCATTGGAACCAGGAGATCTGTTCTGAGTCTAGGGGATGACCACGAGCTGTTCCCATTTTCCTAGAGGGCAGATCTTAGGCAACTGGCTTCAGTCTTCAGATAGGGGAAGGGATTTCATGCCCATGGCTAAGGGTGTGAGACGAGATGCTAGCTTAACTGCTCAAGAGTGTTAACTCTTTCTCTGAAGTTTAAGATGAATGTATTTAAGGCCAGTTTTACGTGGCAGCAGAGGGATGGACTAAATGGCCTTATAGCACTTGGTATTTTTGTTTTTGTTGTTACAAACTCCCAATTCTGTCTGCTATCCCAAGGAAAACAGGTGGGCCTTAAAACGTTTTGCTCTCCTGATCTCTCTTTCTCTCACCTCAATCCCATACCAGAAACCCAGATCGAATAAGATGATTGTGAGAAGTGACCCATAGCAAAAGTCCCATCATGGAAAGTTTAATGAGAAATGACAGTTTTATCACTTCCAAGTTAAGTACCTGTCATATGCAGCAGTAAATGGGGATGGATGTATTGAATTGGGTGGAAAATGAGAAGTCACCATGGACTTAAATGGCATGATAATGTGTCCTGACATTGAAGTCCCAAGGCAGGCTCCTTTTTTTTCACATGGTTTCACTGAGCATTATCCAGGGAGCCGAATGAGACAGAAACTCATTCTTGTGTCCCTCTTAAGGGAGAACCCTCTGCCAAAGAGAAGGAGGGGTCAATAAAGACTTGATTGATTGCCCAGCTGTGTCCAGCCTCGTTGTCACTAGAGTCTCCTATGCCATAGGCAGCCATCATTGCCTGGCTGGTCAGTGCAGCTAGCAATCTATTAAGGAGTGTGTGTGTTGGAACAGGAGTTGGGGAGCTGGTGACTTGGGGAGTTGAACTCCTCTTTGTTACATGCACACTGGGCGGCTTCATTTTGTGCCTGCTTGTGAGCCCTCTGGTGTTCAAAGTCTATTTCTTTTGGTTGTTGCTGCATGTCTGTTTGTGGGTTGTGGACAACTGTTTATTTACTGTGTATCTGTGAAGGTTGATGTATTTGTTTCTGGGTTAACCTTTCTGCATTTCTGTGAGTATGTGTGCTTAGGCTGGTAGGCGGATATGGGGTGGGTATGTATGTGTCCATTTTTTTCTCTTTCCATTTTTCCAGTAGAGTAACATGAAACACTTCCTCTGAGCCCAATCAGGCATTTAATTCCTTCCCTGTGCCCCCTATGAGTATGCCCTTAGCTGGGCATGGTGGTACCCACCTGTAGTCCCATCTACTTAGGAGGCTGAGGTGGAGGGATCAATTGAGCCCAGAAGTTTGAAGCTGCAGTGAACTATGATCACACTATTGTACTCCAGCCTGGGCAACAGAGCAAGATCCCAACTCTTTTAAAAAAAGGGGAAAGGGGAAATGCCCTTTTTGCTACCTGCCTCACCCAGGGCATGCACTGCCCAGTATAGTGGTAGGGATACCCCTTCCCATCATGTTTTGACTGGTTTGTCCTGGGCCTCTGGAGCGCCAGTGTCTCTTCTTTTTAACCACATACTGTCCAAAGGTTGGACCCAAGCCCATCTGGCAAGTTGTGCACAGTGCCACTCAGGCCTGGTGCTAAACAGACCCTTGCCAGTGGCCTAGTGAGGATATGCTGGCATATTGGTACCGCTGGAGAAAGCAGGGGTCTTGGCTCCTGTGTTAGTTTCCTGTAGCTGCTGTGACAAGTTACCACAAAGGTAGTGGTTTAAATTCTATTACGTTCTGAATTGTTGGAACTCTTAAAGGCGTTGGCAGGGCTGGGTTTCTTCTGGAGGCTCTAGGAGAGAATCTGTTTTCTTTCCTTCTCTGGATTCCAGAGGCCTTCCACATTCCTTGACTAGTAACCCCACAACACTCTGACCTCTGCTTCCATCCACGGTTACATCTCCTCTCTAACTGTCACCCTCCTGCCTCCCTTTTATAAGGGCCCTTGTGATGACGGTGGGCCCCCCTGGGTCTCCCTGGATCATCTCCCCAACTCAAGGTCCTTAATTTAATCACATCTCGAAGTCTCCTTTTCCATATAAGTAACATAGTTATGATTCTGGGGATTGGAACGTGGACATCTTGGGCCAGGGGGCTACCCCCAAACATATTACAGGCCTCTCACCCCTCAGATTACTTATGAATGTGAGTGGATGTAGTGGAACCCACACAAACTTGGTCATGGTGCAATTCTGTGATTCTGGAAAGGCTTTCCAAACCCCTCCTTCCCCACAGATATTGCCCTAACCGCTAACTTCTGAAATTCTCTACCCAGGATAAAGCAGCATTGTGGGTAGTGAGAACTTGGACTCAGTACAAGGGGGGCATGAACATTTTTTTTCACACTTGGGTGTAAGTGGCTGATTGCAGAGCCTTCCTAAGAGCAGGTTCTGATGGGAGGAAGGCACAGCGTATGGGAAGGAGATACCAGGGAGGCTGGGGGCTAACTTGGATGGGGTTCCCAGTGATGGAAAGAGCAAAGGCACTTGGAAGTATGACCAGAATGTTTTAATCAAACAGAACAAAATGGCCGCAATGCAGAACAGGTAGTGCTTGGAGAAGAGAAAGAAGACCATCTCCTTGGTGACGTAGATCATGTGAATAAAGATGAAGCAGTACAGGAACATGGCAAACTGGTTCTGGGGCAGCAGGAGATCCTGGAAGCCTCCCGGGAACTGTAGGGAAGAGAAGACGGTAGAAATGGCGGTTCCAGGCTTGGTGCCAGGCAAGACTGCGTTCAGTACTGTTCTGCCCCTGCCTGAATGTGACCTTGGGCAGGTCATGGTTCTTACCCTAAGGAAAGGACAGCAGTGTCCATTTCGCAAGATCATGAGATAATGAATGAAAAATTCCTAATCAGGTAACTGGCACATGGAGGGAATGCATTATTTTTTCCTTTTTGAGCTGATCTTATTCCTCCTGGAGTAACACCTTCCTCTCTCCTTACCCCTCATGCTGCCCATTGGAGTCACACACCTGGGCAGTGTCACACTTGTAGGAAGTCTCAGCCATGTGGGAAGTCCCCTTCTGTTTCCAAGATCTCCAGATCTGGATACTGGGGTCTTGGGAATTTTCTCTAGACAGTTTGCCTTGGCACTCAACCTGGTCTTCTGGACAGTGGCACCATGAAAGGATATCCCTTCTATATGTGGAGGCACCCCCCAAAAATGAAATTATTTTGTGGAGCTCAGACCCCATGTAGTACAGGCTTGCCCTGCTAGGTAAGTGTTCTAGGAAGCCATTGGCATCAGAGTACCAGCCAGCATTGTTGTAAGAGGCTGAGTTCACCTTCAGTGAAATTTTTCTGGAGATTCTTTCAACGTGTTTGCCCATTTCATGATGGGTGTTTTACCAGTGCACCTGCCCACACCATGCTGAGTGTTCAGCAGTTTTTGACCCAAACCAGCATAACCCCCATGCCCCACCCTCCCTATTTACCTTATCTTGCCCTAAGTGACTCTTTTTTTTGGTTTGTTTCTCTGAATGAAAAAAGTCATCAAAGGGGAAATGTTTTGCTGATGTGGAAGAGGTAAAACAAAAAATGGCAGAAACACTAAGAGGCATCAAAATTGAGGAGTTCAAAAACTGTTTTGAGCAGTGGAAAAAGCATCTCGATGGGTGTATTGCATCACACATTTGAGGGTAATGGAAGATTAAACATGTAAGAATAAATACACAAATTTTTATAAGTAAATTCTGGTTTTTTTGAGCAAGAAAAAAATTGTTAAGAAGCCATTGTGTGTTCATTGAGAACAGGTTATGCAAAACCAATCCTATTTTCCTAAAAGTAACCAGCTAATTGGGGAAATGTTATATGTAATGCAATATCTTCATTCTGGGAAACAACTTGACAGTCATGTCTCAGATAGATTTTTGGGTAAGGTGGAGAAATGTGAGTGGGATAGAACATAGCTTGAGGCTGCTCATTAATGGAACATTGCTAACCTGTAGAGAGACCTTGAGTGGTATTTACTTGAGGTCATTTCCTCCCCAACAATTACAGCAATGACTTGGATTAAGGCAGAAGACATGCTTCTCAGAATTGAGGATGACTCAGAGCTGGGAAGTGGAGCCAATACATTATATCCCAGTAAGACTGGAAAGTGATCAATGTAAGTTGCTGCGTTCGGGTCAAGAAGAGAATTGCATGAGTACATAAAAATGGTAATAGCTAACATTTATCGAGTGCTTACCTAAAGTGCTGGGCTCATTGCAAAGTGCCTTACATACATTTTCTCATTTAATCCTCGCAGCGGCCCTGTGAGGGTAGATACTACCTCATGGCTGAGCAAACCAAGGCTCAAGGAGGATTAGTAGTTTGCCTGATGCCAGGCAGCTTATACATGGTAGAGCCAGGATTTTAATCCAAGACGATCTGACTTGAAAACCCGGGCAATACTACCTTAAACAATAACATCTTCCACTACTGAGTGTTTACTGTAGTCTAGCCACTGTGCTGAGCTGTTTACATCCCATTTAATCCCAAGTAGGCCTTCTTACCCTCATTTAGGACAGACTGGGGGTGGGGTGGAGAGGTACATTTCTTGGTGACCAGATGGCTATTTCAGTTGGTTGCGAGGCAGGGTAATCTAACACAGCAAACACATCCCCGAGCAGGAAGGGGATGGTTCTGTCAAAATTCACTGGCCAGACAGCAGTGGGAATTCTGGGTCTAGTCTCCAGGCATCATGTTTTAAGAGATGCAGAGAGGGTGCTGCCCATTGAAACTGGACTGGATAAAAAAAAAATGTGGTACATATACACGATGGAATATCATGCAGCCATAAAGAAGGAAAAACATAGACTTTGCAGCAACTTGAATGGATTTAGAGTCTATCATACTCAGTGATCTATCACAGAAACAAAGAATGGAGTACCACATGTTCTCACTCATAAGCAGGCCCTGGACATTTACCATAATACTGTAAGAAAGGGATTGGCAGTAGCAGGATACTGCTGGACTGCTGGGGGGAGAGGTGGGCACAATATCGGTCAGGGTGCCCGATCTCAAACCACACAAAGTAGGGACCAAAGGGAGGCCCAAAATTTACCTGTATGATGTCCACTTATATACTGAATCCTGAATTGTATCCCACATCTTTAAGAATACAAATTAAAAACAAACAATTTTACAGTATCACAAAAGTTCAAAACAAAAGAGATGCAGAGGAATTGTGGTGGAAATCTAATCCCAGAGGAAGTGTTGGAGACTTTTCCCTTAAACTCTCAAAAGGGCCCTTGGGTGGAGGATGTGTTTCTGGGGCCCCTCCAGCCTCTGCCCTCCTCAGAGAGTCGGATCTCAGTTTAACATGGAAGCTCTAACAGCTGTCCTGGGTGGGATCTTTAAGGCAGTGAGTGGGCACCTCTGAAGTGACCCAAGGCAGCGGGGGCTGGAGATGGCCCGTGTGGATGCTCCACCCCTTCTGGCCAAGCCCTGGGATCTTCAGGGCAGGATGCTGGGACAGTGCAGGCGAGGTGGGCTCCCACCGGCCCCAGGCTCCCTGGGACTGCAGCAGTGCCACCCTCCCTTGCAGTGGCAGCCTCAGGCCTCCCGCCCACATCCCAGTCCTTGACACCTACCTGGCAGGATGCCACCTGCTGCTGCAGCAGCTGTTCCATGACCTCCTCGTGCTGCCGCTGACGCTCATTCTCCTCGTGCAGGCACCTGAGCCGTGTGAGCTCGAACTCCATGCGGATCTTCTCCAGCTCCATCTGGGTGCTGCAGTCCGTCCCATGGGTGGGGGGCAGCTCTGCGGGTTCAGGTCCGTCACCTGCCTGGCCCTTGGCAGTGGGGCTGGCCTTGGAGGACAGCGACTTAGGCGACCTTGGACAGCTTCTGTCCTCACAAGTTTCCATCTCCTCCACTTGGTTGGAAGAGGAGTCTGGCTTCAGGGACTCTACCTCCTGGGGCAGGGGATGGGAGAAGGGGGGGACAGCGAGAAGTCAAGATAGGGCCACTCCACCCCATGGCAGTCCCACAGCCCCAGGTCACACGGGAGTGGGGTATTTGAAAGAGTGTTGAATGAGCATCCTGAAGTTTTTTGTTTTTAGAATTGGAGTCTTACTCTGTCACCCAGGCTGGATTACAGTGACACACTCACGGCCACCTCAGTGTCGACTTACTGGGCTTCAGCGATCCTTCGGCCTCAGCCTTCCAAGTTGCTGGAACTACAGGCAAGTACTACCATGTCTGGCTAATTACTTATTGTAGAGATGAGGTCTCACCAAGTTGCCCAGGCTGGTCTTGAACCCACAGGCTCAGGCAGTCCACTTGCCTCAGCCTCCCAAAGTGCTGGGATTAAAGGCTGAGCCACCAAGCCCGGCCGTGTCCTGAGTTTTAAAAATCTAAACTGAGCTCTTACTGGAAGGGCACTTGCACGGCACTGTCAGGACCTGAGGGTGAAGGAGAGGTACTCTAAAGTTGCCAACAGAGGCATTGGGAGTTGAGGTGGATGTCTATCTTCCTAATGATTTTTCTTTTTTTTGATTCAGAGTCTCACTCTGTTGCCCAGGCTAGAGTGCAGTGGCACGTTCACGGCCACCACAGCCTCGATCTGCTGGGCTCAGGTAATCCTTCCGCCTCAGTCTTCCAAATAGCTGGAACTGCAGGCCCACGCCATCACGCCCAGATAATTTTTTTGATTTATTGTAGAGATGAGGCCTCACCAAGTTGCCCAGGCCCGTCTCAAACCCATGGGCTCAGGCAATCCTCTTGCCTCTTACTCCAAAGTGCGGGGATTATAGGTGTGAGCCACCATGCCTGGCTTAATGATTTTTCAAATCACCAAGGAGGTAATGTCCCTCTCCCCCCCAGCCCCACCTAACTTTAAGTTAGACACCAGGTCTTCTGGGGTTACAGAGAGAGAAAGAAACCCAGGGTCTACGCTGAGAAAACCCAAACATGTAGGGACCAACAAGAGGGCTATGGAGGGAACCAGATCCCATCACTGAGCAAGGAAATGGACCCAAATTGGAGGTAGATGAATGAGATCAAAGTCAGCGTCTAGTGACTTCAGAGTCTTATGAAGGGCTACCTGGTTACAGCTGGGTGCCAGTTCTGGGAGTAGGGTGCGTGTCACCTGCTTTTCTTGGAAGCTCTCTGGAACCTCCCAGCACTCAGCTCCTGCCACATGTCCCTTAAGTACTCTTGTTCCCCCTGGTAGAATGGGCTGGGGCAGTGAGATGGGACATCCCCTCTTACCAAAGAAGCCCTTGGCTTGCCTTCAGACATGGAGTCACCAGGTACCATCCTGGGGAATGTTGGGCAGCTCTCTCCCGCACCCCGGGCTTCCATCATCTCCCGGTCCTCTGTTGCCATCCAGAAAACCACAATGCTGCCCACTGGGGCCAAAGGACATCTTTTGAGGCACTACCATTTGGCCTCACCAGATTCCACGACCCAATCACCATCACAATCCCCTGTCCTCATAATAACCTGCATTCTACCAGTTGCTAGGACCCTTTCAGTAGAGGGTGTGACACTCTTGAGGCGCTGTTAATAAGAACTTCAGGATGGACTTTTCCTACCCTTGAGGACTGCTCTGAAAAATTGAATTCTACCACTTGAAACTCAGAATTCTACCCTATGAGTTGCATTCTCTTGGGTGTTTCTCTCAAGTGTGGATTGTATTGGAATGAGTTACAACTAGCTCTGCAAACCCTGTTATGAGCTGAACCAAGTCCCCCTTCCCCACACCCATTCATATGTTGAAGTCCCAACCCCCAGTACCCCATGATGTGACTTTATTTGGAGATAGGGTCTTTAATAGAGGTGATTAAGTTGAGGTCTTAGGGTAGGTCCTAATTCAATTTGACTAGTGTCCTTATAAGAAGAGAAAGTTTGGACATATGGCGAGAAGGAGGAAGACGTGAAGACAAGGGAGAAGATGGCCATTTACAGACCAAGGAGAGAGGCCTTGTATTAGTCAGGGCTCTCCAGAGAAACAGAACCAATAGCAGCTGATATAAAATGACATTTATGATATGGAGTTGGCTCACACAGTTATGGAGACTGAGAAAGTTCCAGTCTCCCATCTGCAAGCTGGAGATCAAGGCAAGCTGGTAGTATAAATTCCAGTCCGAGTCTAGAGGCCTGAGAACTAGGAATGTTTATGGTGTAAGTTCAAGGGCAGGAAGCCAGATGTCTCGCCTCATGTAGTCAGACAGAGAGCAGCAATTCAATTTCATGTTCTGTTTAGGCCTCCGTGGATTGACAAGGCTCACCCACACTGTGGAGAGCAATCTGTTTTAGCCAGTTCACCAATTCAAATGCTAATCTCTTCCTGAAATACCCGGAAAGATAGATCCAAAAGTAATGTTTAATTAGATACGTGAACGTCCAGTAGCCCAGTCAAATCATCACAGGCCTAGAATAGATAATTCTCTCACAGCTCTCAGAAGGAACCAACCCGGGTGACCCCTTGATTTCAGATGTCTAGCCTCCAAGACTTTGAGAAAGTACATTTCTGCTGTTTAAGTCACTCAGTCTGTGGTACTTTGTTACATCAGCCCTAGCAAACGAATACACCCCTGTCATTCATACTCCCAGGTGGGTAGGATGGATTGGAGGGCAGCAAAGAGATAGGAGGGCTGGGACATATATTTTGTCATCTTCCATTTTGTGAAAACGACAACAGAACATCTTTGGTCATTGAAGGCAGGGTTGCATTTTGGAAACAGAAAGGGCTGCATTTGAATTCTGTGCTTTCTCCAGCCGTGTGACCAAGGAAAAGTTATACGGCCTGTAAATGGGATAAAGACCCAGCTACCTTCCTGCATTGCTGCACCAATGTGGAAATAAGGTAGAGTATTTAACCCCCACCCTGCCCATACAGGGACTAAGCAAAACATTACCATCATCATTGTTATTTAAGGGATGGGTTTGCCACTGGAGAGAAGAGAATGCTCAAGGTTTCCCTTCTGTCCTTGCAAATCTTTAACAGTGGCTCTCCTCCTATGGCATTACGTTGGTGACCACGTGAATGATCTCATGGCTGCCATGTATCTTACCTCAAGCATTAGGGGTAGGATTGCTAGATAAATATAGGCTGCTCCATGAAATTTGAATGTTAGATACATTTTAACATAAATATATTATAACAATTTCACGGGATACATTTCTACTAAAAAAAATTGTTTATTTGAAATTCAATTAACTGGACATCTTGTATTTTTATTTGCTAAGTCCGGTGGTCTTAACTAGGTGACACCTGCCCAAAGGAACAATTATATATGACCAAATAATCCACTGTTGTCACTGCACTCCAACCTGGGAGACAGAGTGAGACCTCAACTAAAAAAAAAAATCACCAAGTACTGAAATGTATAGTAAGTACTGTGGGTCAACTGTATGTCAAATAACCATGAAACCTCAGTGGCATACAACAATAGATATTTATTTAGTTCAGGACACCTAAGGCTGGCTGATCTAGGCTAGACTAAGCTGGGGAAGCTTGGGAGACCTAGTAGACCTTTTTAAGGGCCAAGACTCAGAATGACCTGGCTTATCTCTACTAGGGCAGAGCTTTCCATGCTAGCCACTGAATAGCCTATAGATGGGAAAGTTGCCAGGCCAGTACAGTCTGCAGTCAAGTGGAGGGACGGAGATGGTGGACAGGGCATACAGTACCATGCACAGTAGCCTGTCTGTCAGCAGGAGCTGCAGGGGGGTCAGTTTCCCTGGAAACTGGGCAGTGGATGTGGCAGGCACTATGTTGAAGATTGATGGGCACATTCGCAGAACAATGGGTCACTTGTAGGTTTGGAAAATAACCAGATGAGAGACCTGCGTGTTAGTACAGCACTCACAAGCTTTCATGGACATGATCTCATTGGGTTCTCAGAATGCCCTTGTGAGGCAATGTGAAGCAGGTGCAATGATTGCTGCCTGATAAACAGGGAACCTGAATCACACAGAGATGAGGTGATATGTGTCTGCGTGCCGAGGATGTCCATGGCTGAGCCAGGACTGGAATGCAGGTTTCCCATTCCCTTCCCTGTGTTGTCTTGGTAGACCATCAAGATGGTCTTAGGGCCTCCATCTCCAAGAGGTGAGATGATTTTCTGCCTCATAAAAGTAAAAGTTGGTATATACATAATGGTTTATTACAGCTTTGTTCTTAACAGCCAAAGGCTGGAAACAACTTAAATCTCCACTTCTCCACTAGAAGGGATCTGATTAAACAACTGATGTTGTATCCATATCAAGATACTGTGCATTGGACATAAAGCGTGGAATGATAGATGTTGAAAACTCGGGAGGGGTGTGGGAGGGGAGTGGGAGGTGAATGAATGATGAAAAAATTACTTAATGGGTACAGTGTTCATTATTTGGGTGGTGGATACACTAAAAAGCCAGAATTTACCACTGTGCAATATAACCATGTAACAAAATTGCACTTGTGTGCCTTAAATTTATACAAATTTAAAAAACAATACTATGCAGATGTGGAAAAGAATAAAATTAAAGAAAAAAAGAGAAGGTAGCTGCATCAATGCAAGTATTCTCTGAGACATACTATTTACTGGAAATTCAAGAACAGTGCAACCATATGTATTAAAATATGAAAACATTTTATACACTGTTGTGTCAGACTCCCAAAAACCCCAAAAGGGAAGGGACTGTGTCCAAGAGAAATGAAGAAATGACACAGAAATAATGGACAAGACGTGGGCTTCAGGGAAGATGGTCCAGGAGCAGTTGGTTAGACAGGTAAAAAGCCATCGCTGACTGTAAAAGGCATACAGGCATTTTCCACGGGGCAGAATATGGGGTTAAGCTCGAATAGGGTAGTTTCTAGTATGCAGGTGCAGTGTGAGAAGGCGCTTTGTATATACGTTGCACGTATGCAACATAGCTGTGAATTCTCTCTAGGGATAGGATTTTTAGTCTTATAATGAACCAAAGGTGGACTAAAGGTAACCAAAATTTATTAGAGCATTGATCTAGACGTGCTCAACCCGGTCTGAACCAGCCCGGGGGACTGACTGCCTCAAGGAAGGGTGCAGGAGGACATTTACCATGTGTGGCTGCAAGGTGTGGTTAGCAGGCGTGAATACTACACTCAGGGCCTCAGCAGGACCTGCATGCCCACACACAGAGCCTGAGGGGAAAGGGACGTCCTGGGTCGGCCACCCCCAGGACTCCTCCCCAGGCTCCAACCCCCTGCTTGGGCCACATCCGGGGTGTGCTCATGTTGTCTCTGAGTGTGTGTCACCCTATATACTTACTCATATATGCTTAGAAAAATGTCTAGAGGCCAGGCTCAGTGGCTCAGCCTGTAATCCCAGCACTTTGGGAGGCCAAGGCAAGTGGATTGAGACCCACCTGGGCAATTTGGCGAGACCTTGTCTCTACAATAAATCAAAAATTAGCTGGGCTACTTGGAAGGCTGAGGCGGAAGGATCACTGGAGCCCAGCAGGTCGAGGCTGCGATGGCCAGGAGCATGCCACTGCACTCCAGTCTGGGCGACAGAGTGAGACTCCAACTCAAAAAAAAAAAGGTGATGTCTGGAAAGACACATAAGAAGCTGGATCGTGATAGCTGTCTTTGCATTGGGGGAACTGAGGGATTGGGTGTTTGGGTTGAGAGGGAGACTGATTCTTAACTATACCATTTTGTGTTCATTGACGGTTTAAAAACCATATTGCGTATATTACATTTTCATTTAAAAATTGGGAAAAGGTATCTGGAGAGAGGGAGCTTTGCCCAGTATAGGAGAAGAAAATTCTGGATGTATAACTTGTTGAAGTTGAAGACAGGCATTGAGCCACTTGGTCGTATCCCTACCTCATCTCCAGTGCAGGGTGGTCTTACTACAACTGAAGATGGGTGTCTTGCTGCTAAAATGTCCTCTTCTTTTCCTGCTGCCTCAGTTATAGATTCTGCTGTGGCTTTGAGATACATCACTCAGGTGTGCTGGAGGTTTTAGAGGATTATGACAGTAACGGCGATACTAGCTTACGTTTATTGGGCACTAACCATGTACAGGGCACTAGGAAATTTTTCATGAATCATTTTACTTAATTTTCACAGCAACCTATGAGTTGGGTACTATGATTATTTCTATCTTTAGAGGAGTAGAAACTGAGTTACAGAGGGGCTAAGTGACCTGCCTGCAGCTACGTAGAGGGAAAGCCAGGATTTAAGCACCCAAATTCCTGTATTCAATCCCTCTCTGCATGAAATACTTGGCGTAGTTTCTGTTTTTCCAAGGAACCCTGGCTAATACTGGGAGTAACCAAGAGAAGAAGGTGAATCAAGATGCTTCAGGGCTTCACTGAGGAAGTCAGACTGAGAAGGGAGCCAGGGGCTGCCC